CAGATGACGGCGAACCCGCCGAGAGCAGACTCCGAGGCCCCTATCGAAAGTTCCGGGATGCAGCCGCAGGTAGTGAACATCCATCTGACTGGTCCAGATTTGATGTCACTCATAGTCTAAAAGACTTGAGAAGTAGCCATGAACCAACTATTTTTCGAACACTCAGGAAGCTGCATTTAAGATGGTGGCATGCAGGCCCCACCAACATGACCAGCGTTTTAAGAAATGCAGGCATACCTGAAGAAGTCATAAGTTACATTCCTGACATCATTTCAACTTGCCGCGAGTGCCGCAAGTGGGCACCAAAAGCCAAAGACACTCAACCCTCTGTCTCTTTGGCCATGAATTTCAACGAAGTAGTAGAAACCGATTTGTTGTTCCATCGAGAATTTGTTGTACATCATTTCATTTGCAGAGCGACCAGATGGCATGTTGCTGTGGAAACTCCTAACAAAACAGAAGATCAATTAATCACCAATTTCCACACAGCATGGGTATCCATCTTTGGCCCACCTCAACAGCTTGTCACCGACAGTGAGGCTGGCTTGACTTCATCCAGTGCTGAAGCAAGATTGAAGCGTATGGGTGTAGTCTTAAAGGTAAGAGGTAAGGACCAACACGCTCGGTACATCGAAAGGAGAGGAGCGATCTTAAGACATGCGATGCATGTGATGGAATCCCAAGCCATAAGAGAAGGTATTGACATCAACTTCCCATCATTACTTGCCAATAGCGTCTTCATGGGTAACGCATTAACACATGTAGGAGGAGTTACACCCTACCAGGTAGTGATGGGAAGACAGCCAGCTTGCCTTCCGCCAATTACTGACAACGCCGGCTTGGAAGAGAGAGTTGATGCTCGCATCCGCGAACTTGCATTGCAGTCTATGGTTTCAGCCACGAGTGCATCTCGTATCAAAAGAGCTCTGGGGTCCAAAACTGCCTTGTCGGGAGAAAACCGTTTTGCAAAAGGAGACTTGGTAGAGTTATACCGAACGCCCCCGAGCAAAGACATGAGTGGCTGGACCGGTCCATATGAAGTCGTAGAGTGTGTAGCCGCAGATGGCATTGTAGCTCTTAAAATAAATGGACAGACCAGACCATATCGCCTCCAGGATGTACGCCCAGCACAATACTATGCAACAGTTTCTCTTTATGGACACACCAATGCGGATATCTGTTTGAATGCCATGGAATACATCCATCAATTTTTGAATGAACTCCCTGATGGCCGTGTTGAAGTTTTCGGGTATGTAAATGACAGACTGACGAGAACCACCAAACGATGGCCCAAAATTTCAAAGGCACTAGAGTTCATCATAACCAACTCCCTCCAAATGGATGATATTTGCACTGTAAGAATTGGACATAAAATCAAACAGCTGCAAGATCTGGAGGACAGATACCGCAATGTGATTTTCAATTGGAACATGAACAACCCAGATGCAATGCTCATACATGTTGCCGATCACCCAAGACAAAACATCAACAAAATCTTTGGTCCACAGGAGTCCTTCGTCGCAACAATGCAGTGTTTTATGCTAGACAGAGATGTCGGAATGACACTTGATGATTTTGAGGAGAAAGTGCTGGACCGTCCGTCGGCTATGGCGCATCTCGATCGAGAGATCGAGGTGGGTCGTAGTGATGGGCGGCTCAGCACGATCGCCGAGGAATCTCAAGTTAGCATCGACTCTCCAGAGGTTGAAGCATTGTATATACAACACTTCGAAGGTGCTCCCAAAGAAATCCAAAGTGATCTCAAGGAGCTGTGCTGGGTAGTTCTCAACGAACCGGTAGATGAAGTATCAGATGTGGAGATTAAAGATGATAGGTGTTATTTTTCAAGTCCAGACAACCATAATGATTGGGATTCAATACCACCAACATTTAGTCCAGATTTCGACGAGTATGATCACACTTTTGAGTTTGATGAAAATGATGAACCATTCCTTGAAGTGTTGATCTCAGAGAACATCACTGAATGCTTCCAAGACAGTCGCGATGTGTCTAAACCCAACTTAATGAAAGTATTCCTTAATGCAGAAGCCAAGAAAGAAGTCATCGAGAGAGATACGGACTTGCTCACAACTAAGGAATTAATTGATCATCGCAAGGAAGTTGATGAAGCAACTGTTAAAGAGTATGAAACCTGGCACAAATATGGTTGTTTTGAACGAATCCCCAAAAAGAAGTGTAAAGTTCTGATCGACGCCAAGCTAGTTTCTAAGTGGAAGTATGTAGACGGGAAGCGCATCATCAGGATGCGATTGGCCTTGCGAGGGTTCAAGGAACCGCAAACCGAAGATGAAGTGAACTTCTCGGCCACTGCGCAAAGAACATCCCAAAAGATTCTAGCTAGTGAAGCAGCCTGCCATAAAGATTGGAGCTTTGTCGCTGTGGACATAAGCAAAGCATTCCTTCAAGGGCTTACCTTTTCCGAGATGAACAAGTTGACTGGAGAGCCCGAGAAACACATAAGCTTTACCGTCCCGGCAGGAACAGCCAAACATCTCAGACGGATTCCAGGATATGAAGATTTTGATGAGCGAACGGAAGCTCTCAAATGCTTGAAGCCTGGCACTGGCTGTAGAGACGCTCCCAGAGCATTTAACTTGAGGCTAATCAACATCCTCAAGGAATTAGGGTTCCGTGCATCTTTGTATGACCCCCAATTGTTAATGTTACATAAGAAAGGAACCCTAGTCTTAGCCATAACCGTCCATGTAGATGATATTAAAATGGCAGGTATGAAATCAGAAATAGACTCTTTGGTCAAAACTCTGGAAGGGCACTTTGGGAAATTGACGTATCAAGAAAGTGAATTTACAAACTGTGGTATTTGTCATAAAAGACTCCCAGATGGAACCATCACTCTTGATCAGACAGAATATCTTAGTGCATTAAAACCTATAAACCCAAAACACTATGCTAATCTCCAGAAGGACGCACAATGCCCCGAGCACCTCAGAGCGCTGTATTGGAGCTTGTTAGGAGCCGTTGCCTATTCCGCCCTAACACAGGCGTGGGTCTTAGTCTATATAATTTCTCTCCAACGTGTAACTCAGAACCCCACTGTTACACATGTCAAAAGACTGAATGCACTCACCCGAGAGCTTCAACGTCGTCCCCAGAGATTAGAGTATAGCTCAATGACTTGTAACAGGGTTGTTGAGCTATATTCTGATTCAGCATTCTCCAGAGAAAATAATAAGGGATACGCTTTGAGGGGTGCAGTATATCTTCGCCGCTGAGCTGTTGGCACTCACAGCATCCGTTGATCAAAGTTTTATAATTATAACTACCCTTCATGAAATGTGTTTCGGACCCCTTAGTCCCCAATCCAGTATAAATCTAAGAGAAAATGGTGGTTACCTCATCGAACTTTATGTCTGGATAGACGCCAGGTCCGTTTTTAGTGCGGTGGAAAATGAAAACTTCAAGTACCCAACGGAAAAGTCACTGCTCTCTCATATCTCATGGATCAAACAGTTGACCATTTCTAAGATCATTACGATTTTAGGATGGGTCGACACACGCGACATGATAGCCGATGGGATGACCAAAGGTTCCATCGATCGGTCGCAGTTAATTAATGCTATGAAGGGGTTTGTACGAAGACTACACCCCGCTGAATTCATGAAGACCAGAGGGACACGTCCTCTGGCAAACACAGATACCGAAGTTTGAGCTCGAGCCAGTTACAGCATCTCACCAACTTACAGGAGAACACCCGACTTGAAAGGTACATGATCTATACCTCAGGTTCATTGTTGTCCATGTAACTGTTCTGGCTCTAGAGCTCGACCTAGGTAAACACAAGACCTCGTCACAAGCAGTCAGAGGAAAACAGACATTTGCGGAAACAGTACTTCTTTGCCATGTTAGTTCCTCTCTTTTTCGAGTTCTATTCTATTCTATTCTATTTTATCCTCTTCTATTCTATTCTATTCTGCTCTATTCTTCTCTACTCTACTTCTTCTCTGCTCAGTTCTACTCTACTCTACCTCGTCTCTACTTCACGCAGGTGCCCACTGGACACAATGTTTTTTTGGGCCAGTGAGAATGTGACTTAATGATCTCTTAACGCAAGTGCCCACTGGACACAATGATCGTTGGGTTAGTGAGAGTGTGACCTAATGATGTTTCAACGCAGGTGCCAACCGGACACAATGATCCTTGCTCTAATGAAACTGTGAGTTAATGATTTCTTAACGCAGGTGCTAACTGGACACAGTCATTTGTGTGCTAGTGAGAATGTAGAATGTGACTTAATGATCTCTTAACGAAGATGCCAACTGGACACAATGATCCTTGGGCTAGTGAAAATGTCAGTTAATGATTTCTTAACGAGGGTGCCATCTGGACACAATCATATTGTGCTAGTGAGAATCGAATGTATAATGTGACTTGATGATCTCTTAACGAAGATGCTAGCTGGACACAAAGTGAGAATGCTCACTTTCCGTAACTCGGAGTTTCTCTATGAAACTTCCTTTGATCAGTATGCAGTGATTTCCCGCATGACTGTGTCGTAAGAATGTCCCAATAGCGTGTTTTCCAAGACCATTGCGCAGCAAATTCAGAAATATTCAGAATATGTTTTTTTCAAAACAGTCCCATGAAAGTGTCGTGTGAAAGTGTGACACAAAAGTGTCCCACAAGGATGTCTCACAAAATAATCATCCCGCAAAGAATCCCATGAGAGTGTGCCGCAAAAGCGTCCCACAAATTTAAGGTCTTGCAAGAGTGCCGGGCAAGAACGGCCCACAAAAGTGTGTTTCAAGACGTCTTACAACAACATCCAATGTGAGAGTGTTTCGACACGACAACTTTAAATTCATCGCGGGAAAATCACCACTTTTCATTCTTAGTGCAATCGGGTTCGTGGTTGCCATCGTTTGCTTTAGGTAGGAGATGGCCGGACCTGAAATGCTTCATTTCCTTCAATTTGGCATCAAACTTGTTTCATATGCGATTGCTGGTTTGCAGCGGCTCAAAAAAATAATGCTTCGGGCTTAGCGGCACGGCCCTGGCTGAAGATGGTGGTTGGTACCCGGATACATGCGAGGTTCTTACGATGCGCGTTACTGTGCACAGTGTTCGCCATCTACAGTATCTACAGTCTTCGGTATGGGGAGGATTCTAGAGCTTTCGTCGGTGGCAGTTCAACAGCATCTAGCACCGGCAGCCTTGTGGTCATGCACGCTTACAAACCAATTTTGCGACGTGACCCCATCTTGAACAAGGAACTTCAAACGTGGATGAGGCAGCAGCTTCGCTTAGTGAAACGTCAAGAGGCTGGAGGCTTTTCCAATACCGTGGACCGGAAGAAACTCTACTTGCAAAAGTTGGGCCTCGACAAAAAGGCCGAAGAACTGGACCAGAAGCAGTTCCGACCACCGTGGCATTTGAAACACGTCGTGGCGGGCGACAAATTCGTGGGGACTTTCCAGCATCCCGATTTGTATCGTGGAGAGGTTTTGGACCTGACCTTTGAAGCCTCCAGTGATACTGAAGCCAACATCTTTTCAAAAAGAGGTGACCTGGACGATACAGTGACCCTGCAACAGGATTACCCAATCGCCTTTGAGTCAGGGGAGCAAAAGGACAATGACGCTTCAGGTCTGTTGAGTACATGTTTTTTTTGTTTTTTGTTTTTTGGTTCACATGAGTTTCACACTTTGGAGTTTGATGCCGTGGTGTTTAAACAAGTTTGTGTTGCTGTACGGTTCTCATATGTATTCTGCCCCTTTCTATGGGGGTACCCTAGGTGTGACATCGGTAAAATCATACAAATGGGTGTCATTCTCCAGGCCCTGCCTTTGCACATGCAAGGATATGGCAGCTTACACTTTCCACAAATTTAATGCAAAGTGGAGGGACTTTGATGGACCCATGCCATCAGAGGATGACTGTCAGTATTTGACGCTCCCAATGCTGCAGAAATTCTTTAACCAGGCTGGATAGTAGCAGAACTCGCACCACAAAGGCAAGTGCGTATTTCCGAAGCTCTGAGAATCACTAAATCGAATATTTCTTTGCAACACTTCATTCAAAAACAAATATACAGTATACATTATTCATCATTATTCTGTAGCCATATAATATGGCGATAGTTGAGGTACTAATGGTATCTTCCACCTAGGGGAGGCGCCCAACTAAGATCTTACGCATTTGTTCCATTTTTGGCCAGGCTGCTGGTGTAGAAGGCTTCCCCACTGCCGACGAGTTTGCGGAAAATTGTGCTGACAGCTCCAAAGGTATGACCAAGGAGGAGTCCAGATGTTTCACGCTGGTCCCATCCATGTATCGAAAAGGAAACAACAAAATGTTTAATTTTTTGGCCGCTTTAACTACCATTGTGCTGCATATTGGGTCACTCACTGGATAGATGTCATACAACTCATGCCATTTTTTTTGGGAGGATGCTCCAGCTTTCATCCAAAACTGTTGATGTTCGGTGGCTCGTTTTGAGCCTGACCCTGGTGCTGGATTTGTTGGATGCTTATCGTATGTATATACATGTTTGTCGATTTTCGTGTCCATGTATGTATACATATGAGGACGTATTATTTGTTTACATTTGTTGGTGGCAAATGTAAGAGTCCGTTGATATATACCGTATAATACAGTATATATACGTATATATACACACACGCAAATATATTTATACATGCACACACACATATAATACACACACACACATATATATATACATACACATGTATATATATATACACACAAAAATAAGCACACACACATATATATATATGCATATTGTGCCTACTGTCATGCAGGTGTGGACACGCGCAATCATATGTATATGTAGATAGGCATGCCCACGCACATATGTACGCTTATATCGCTTTGTGGATCGAGTCCATCACATCTATGAATGCATACATCCATTTGCAGTATATGCTTGTTTACAAAGTTTTTATTTGTTTGTTTGTTTGTTTGTCTGACTGTCTGTCTGTCTGTCCTGCCTAATTTACCGATCAATGCATACATCCGGGGGCTCTAACGATTGTTGCTTGCGACAGTAGCAAGCTGACGAAGGAATTTCTGGCTTACTTGCGGGCGGAATCTCCAGACTACCTTGCTGCTTGCATCAATTTAAATGGTCATGGAACAACTCAAACTTTTCAGGTGTCATGATATGTCATGATATGTCATGATCCTATTCTGCAATTCCAATGCGCAATGGTTCGAGAAGTTTCTGCTCAGGAAAAGTCTTTTCCTGGCATCTACACCGGTAGACGACTTCGCTTCACGGATGGCAAGTTGATCTTTGATGGGGATTACCAGGAAATCGGAGACAACCTGATTTACGGTGTCTGAGCTGCACTTTTCACGAAAGGTAGCTCCAGTAGTGCTACCTTTGTTTTGCTTTACGAAGTAAAGGGGAGGGTGGCCAGCCCAGTTACCTGATTATTCAGGAGGTTGCTGTTCCTTTTGGATCCCTTCCCCCCAACCCCCTCCCTCCACTGCGTAAACCCTAAAAGCAGACCCAAAACACTGTAATTTACATGTTTTGTGACTTTTGCATGGAAAAATCACTTCTTGCAACATGCCGAAAACTGTGTAAATACCGATGTTTTTGCTAGGTGCTGTCCAAAAAACACTGTAAATACCGTGGTTTTTGCTACCAGAGGCAGAAAACATCGTAAATACCGTGGTTTTGGGCTTCCGAGGCGCAAAAAACATCGGTATTTAGAATTAAGGGTGTCTTCTGCTTGGAGGGTCTCAAAAAAAACAAAAAAACACATCTAATTTGACGATTTTGGTCACTACGAGATCAAGAAAAAAACTGCAGGGGTAACAACAACAACGACGACGACGACGACAACAACAACAACAACAGCAACAACTTTTCGGCACAGAAGCCTTTACGCACAGAAGTCTTTATGCACAGCAGTTTTTACACAGACGCTTTTACACACAGATGCCTTTACACAGAAAAACTTTACACACAGAAGCTTGTGCACACAGCACGGTTTTACACACAACCAGCTTTTACACGGAGAGGCTTTGCTTCCCCTTCTTGATCACCTACCTTTCATGTTCCCCTCATGTAGGTTTTGGCTTATGATTCAACTGATTCAACCCTTGGGCGGCCCCTGCATCGCAATGATCCCGATGGCAAAGGCTTCATTTCCTTCGACGGGAAGCCAGGTGGAACATTTTCAATGGAACTGTACGGCGCTCAGATCCGGGAGACCTCCAGCGGTTTGACGATGTTTGAGCTGAGTGGAAACCCTGGCCGCGGCCCAAGACACCTTTTCTGTGCACATTTGAGGACAAAAAAGAAGTGAATTGCCAATGCGTCGTGAAAGAGGATGTGGAATGACACTATCGTTTGATTGTGATATAGAAATAAACATTTGTGCAGTAGACAATTTTCTTGAGCGTTCAGTGCGAAAAAAAGGTACGGCAGGATTGAATGCATGATGTGTTGCTCATGCAGTTCCTAGGTCACTGGAGGTAGCAGTGACACCTGTTTCTTGCAGGAACAGTTTCGTTTTGCTTAGAAACATTGCTCTAGGCTGCCTGACGACATTGGCAGGGCACATGCAAATGACACAGCGCATCATTGCGAGAGAGCTTGGAGATAAATATATTCATTGGAAAGAACGCACTGTGCCATGATTTTTGTTTAGACAGCGGCAAATAATACGTGATAAGTGATAAACCATTCCTTCGATTCACACAGTATTACCTGTAGCTTTCACGTCTTGCACAAACATCCTACATCCTCAGAAGGTGCGCTCGATTTTGCCATGACGAAGCGCTGTGTGCGCAACGGGTGCTGGTCTAGACGCTTTGGATTTCTCAGAAAGTCCTAGAGTTCTTAGATGATTGTGAATGATGTGAGATAGATTTGTGAGGCATCGATGCCTGGGATTTCCAGGGCTGTTTGTGGCATCTTGTGGTGCCTCACCGGCGCAATGGTGGCCGAAGTGGCCAGTGAAAGGCCTTGGCCGCCTTGGCTTCCCCATGTGGACATCGAGGACTACGAGTGCCGCAAGGAGCTGCCGAATCCAGTGGTGAACTGGGCAGATCTTCGGCAGCGATTTGGGGACCTGGTGAAACAGCTCTTGGATGAGCGGACCTTACGGTTGAGCCCGTTGAGCCCAGAGACGCGGATCCAGAGCTTGCAAATGGAACTCCTGGAGTTTGCTGCGGTGATTTTGTGGCGTTTCCCTGTTGCATTGAATGAGTGCCCGTTTGGTGCAGTTACAGCATCAATCTTTGCCACTTGCATGGCCTTTATGGACCAGACTGAGTTGTCCAACAGCCCATTGAAGTCTCCATATGACCGGTTCTTGAATGACTTGGCTCAGCAGTCCTTTCTGGAGCTTGTGTCGCGAGACTTGGCAGTCCTGTTGGACTTGGCAAATTTACATGTAACTGCTGCTTCTGAGTGGGCCACCTTTGCCTTGCTTCACATCTACCTTCCAAAGATCAGAGGTGTGAAGTATTCAGATCCTGACCAATTGAAATGCGCAGGAGTCTCAGTTGCGGGCTACAAGTCCGAACGAATTCTGGAGATGTTGCGTCGGCACATTCCCTATGCTTCAGGCCGAGACATTGAAGGCCTGAAGTTTCTGCGGGGTTTGGACCCCATTGTTTCTGCCACCATGAAACTTAGCGTGATTTCAGACTTGCTCTTGGCTGTCTGGTTTTGACGAAGCTGACTTCAGAATGCAGAGGAGACCCATTGAATTCCAGCATGGCGTGCACACCCCCAACTTCTGCCCTGCAAAAGTGTCCCAGGCAACCTAGGCTGTTAATCAACCAACCCCGAGAAATTTAGGTATTGAAGTATCGGATCTCTTTATTTGGGCGTCCCACCCAAGTTACCCCCCCAACCCTTATCATCGTCAATCATCCATCACCATGAATCATCCACCATCAACATCCACCAACCATCAACCACCCAGGAAAGATCCTCGGGAGTTTTCCACCAGCTTCGTTCAAGCCTGTCCCGCGGGGGCCGCTGCCTTCGCTTCGGCCTCGGCGATGCTGGCGTTGATGTCCAATCCTTCACTCTTCGAACGCTTCAGCAACCTGGCGCGCTGGATCTTGCGGTCCTACCCAACGGCACCTTGGCGCTGGCTTGATATCAAGATTCTTCCGATTCCCGATCGATATTTGATAACATACACATTTAATCACATTTACATACGATACACAAAGTAGGTATAGTAAAAGAAATGTCTAGATTCTAGATCGAGTAACCCCCAGAAAGATAGAAACATAATTTTCAACTATTTTATGTAATAGATCCCCAAAAAAGATAGAATGCAATACTTTTCTATCTTTTTGGGTGGTTGCCGTAAAAGACAACCTTCCAAGTTTTTTGGCACCCCAAAATGACACATGAAAAGATCAGAAGCAAAACCGCGGTTCCGGGGGTTGTTTACAATGAGGGGATGGGATTGTCCAAGTGGGTGAAACAGGGAAGCATTGCAGCTTAAACCAGCCATTATTTTCGTAAAGCCCATTGTTTCCTGTCAAATTTGATTGACATTAATTGAGTGAATTGATGGTGCACCCTTCAATGGCGCAACCCTTGTAATGGAGACTCCATCCTTTGCAGGTCATCGTCCTATTGAAAATGAAGATTTTCGCGTTTCACTCCCTGAAAAAAATACGTGGTGGGGATCCGTTGCGCTAGGAAGCTTTGATGGGAGCCACCACCTGGACCCTGTTCCATGCAGTGGCCAAGCTCGGAAACTTTGCTCTACGATCCTTCGACCTGGTGCTGGAAGCTCAGTGAAGCTGCAAAGATTCACGAAGCTCAAACCGGGGCATTGGAGCAAAGGAGTTTGGATTCAAAAATCACATATGTGTATGGGGACATCTATCTGAATCTATCTGTCTATTTTTTCTCCCTGTCTCCCTCACCAAAAGGGACAGATATCCAGGCTTTTTTTTTTTAAACATACGTGCTAAGATGATCCAACAAGAACTTTGCGGCACAACTCGGATGTCATTTGTTGACAGACCCTTGGTCCATTGGTTTGAAGAATTCATCAACTGCCGAGGTGGTCTCCTGATCAGTTGCTGAATCTGCCACAAGACCCGCACGACTTCGATCGGCTTCGGCTCCATCCGGCCCTGAGGGTGTCTTGATCTGGGCCCTGGGCTCATACGAGGGCGCAAGGCAAAAACATTGGTTGAACCAAGTTGACGGTTTATATATGTTTATATAACCCACTAACCTACCGGGCGCTTCAGATTTCAGTCTTTCCTAGTGAAACTGTATGAAACTGTAGTGACTAGTGGCCCTGGAGGCCACAAGTGGAAGTTCACCTTGCTGAGGTGAAGCATTTGGAAGCAGCGGAAGGCCATCAGCATCCTGCCACGCGCGAACTTGCGTCCTTCCTTCGGAATATCAAAGGAATTCAGCAGGATCCAGAAAGCATGGTCTACATCACTGCAGTGGGTGGCGTGCCTTTTGCAAACTACATTCAAGGACCTTCCAATCCGCCGTCCGCCCTCGTTATTTTCTAAACATGGCGAGAGATGTCATGGTGTCCTGCGGAATCCCTGTGCAGGATTCATCCAGCGAGCCTTGAAAGTTGGGCTTTCGGCACTGGTTATAGCCTGTATGGATAGCATTGCCCTGGAGAGATGTTCTCAGGTTTCGACCTGGTGGGGGGCCAGTTGCGGGTGTTGGGATTCAAACCGCAAAAAAAATCATGTTTTGTTTCACCGGTGAGATTTTACGCAGTCAAGAGACTTCAAAATGGTGAAAACAAGCATCATCTACTATGATAATAATTCTTGTATAATGACTTGCAAGTACGACTGTCGACACTTTCCAACCGCTCAAGAACTAGATGTGGACTCATAGACTGTTTGAGGGCCTGTCAGCTCTTGGTCAGCTCTCGCATTGGCTATCCTGTCCCTTGCATTGCTCTGCTTCCTGTCTTCCTTGGCTTGTCGCTGGCATTTCCATTGGATTTCTGCTTGGACTTGGACTTTTCCTCTCCCTTGCTTTCCATTGGACTTCTGCGTCTCGGCCTTGGACTTGGCCTTCCACCGCTTCATCCCCTCCACCTACCTTTGAGGAATCTGACCTGATCAGGGCTCGGAGGAGGATCCAGGCCTACTTGCATGAGTGAACCGGTTACCAGGCAAGACGTCCTTCAGTTGATATCTAGCTTGGAACGTCTTACCTTGGCAGTGAGAGGCTTCAGTTGATATCTAGCTTGGAACGTCTTACCTTGGCAGTGAGAGGATCAGGGCTTGGTGTGGTTGGAGGACTGGAAGATTGGGAGTTGGCCGAAGCTGACTACCAAGGGCCTGGGTACGGTGCAGTCAGGAACTTTGAGGTTGAGAGTGGGCCTCCTGATACACCTGCTTCCTTACTTGAGTTGGGAAAGAAATTGATCTCTTCAAAGGCGGACGGCCAGTTCCGCATCCGCAGGGCGTTCACAGCAGGGTTTTGGGCCAAGATCTCTTTGCTTTGTGAAGTTGCTCTCTCTGGGCCAGAACCTATTCCTTTGAGGGACACTCAATTCCTTGTCCTGCGTGCTGTTGGGCTTGATCAGCCAGTGCGTGTCCTGAAGATCGAGGAGAGAGATCAGTTTGTTGGTGGTGATCCAAGAGCTTTGCACTACGGTTTCCCCTCCCTTGCGGAGGTGCAAGCGTTCTGTTGCGGAGCGGGCATCAGCGTTCCAGCTCTTTACAAATGCAGAAGCAGCGGATCAGGTTCAGCCACGAGGGTGACCCCTCGTTGCTAGTGTTGGACTTGCCAAATGACCTCTCAGCCAGCGGAGAGGCGTGTCAGATTTTTGCAGTTCCTCTATTTGCCCGACGTGGTGGACTTTTGCTGGCTGTGCCTGATGGCATGATTTCTCCAGGCCTTTTTGCAGCTGATGAGGGGCATCAAACAGGTGAGTCGTTGATTGGGCCCGGTGACACCTTCAACGCTTCGCTCTACGAGGATACCGATGAAGGCTTGGTGGCCATTGGTCTTGAGGGCGTGGTGCAGGTTTTTGATGCAGCTGACGCTCTTCTTCAACAGATCAGAGAATATGACCCTGTGACTGACTCCACTGAGCCTATCAGACCTTTCCATGTGACTTCTCCCCATACCTTTCCTCATGGTGATGTTTTCCTGTCACGAGTGCAAGAATGGATGAGAACTTTGGCCTTTGGAGGTAGCCTTTTTTACTCAGCTCAAGAAGACCTGAGTCCTCCAAAGGTGCCTGGTGCTCCGGTTGCGGACACAAAAAAGGCTGCTGCTCCAAAGCGTGTTACGCAAGCTGCCGTCATGGAAAAGATCGATGTCCTTGTCAACCAGATGCAAGTCCTCATGGCTCGGCAGGATCAGTTGGAAAGCCAGTCAAGGGGGTATACTGCAAACGATGTATCAGGGCAGCAGGCTGTCTCCGCCCGAGCTTTGCCTGCGGTCTCTGCAGGTCTGGAGCCTGCAGCGGCTCTGCCTCTGGGCATGAGTTATGTTCAGAAGGCCGTCTCTTTGGCGGGACCTCCTCCTCGACACAAGGAGGCAAAAGCATCTGCGAGAGGCCTTGTGGAACAGGAGCAAGGCCAAAGTCCTGTAGCAGGAGACAGAGGAGGGCATGGTGGTTCCAGCTTGGAGGCTGCCTTGGTGGAACAAAGTACGGCTTTGACTTCACTGGTCGCTCACTTGGCCGCCCATACTGCCGACGGCATGTCAGACTTGAACTTGAGCAGCTCCTCTTCCCAGACATCTGGCACACGTGGGGTCTTACGGAGGGAGAAGATGCAAAGCGATTTGGCAGCCCGCAGTGGGAATTTCTACCTACAGCTGATGCAGCAGATGCATCGACGTCTGCACCCAGGGAAGCCTGTCCCTCAGAACCTGAGCGAGTTGCAAAGCCTTTCTATGCTGCAGTATCTGGAGCGACAAGGTGGGTTCCGTCATCAGAGAGAGACAGGCCTTGTACTTTGGTTGATGGGGCATGTTGTAGATGCAATCAATGCGGAGGACTGGGCTGGGGTGAGAGAGTTGGTTGCCCTCACTGTTGTGTCCCTGGAGCAGTCAGCAATAGACCAGGGGGACTGGTCCCTGGCCTTCCTCCTTTCCCTGGTGGCAGAGCCTCCTGTTCAGATGTTCCAGGATCGGATGGTTTCCATGTCTCCACATGGCCGGCCGTTCGCGCCGTTGTGCCCTGCCTCTTGGGCGGCAACCACATTGGCCTATCTCAAAGACATGGAGACCCTGACATCGAAGAAATCAGAAGTGGCGTCGAAGCCAAAAGCGAATGCAAATCAGACAGCAGCGCCTGGGGCTGGGGAGACGGCTTCTCCCAAGAGGAAGACGCGCTATCCGAAGAAGGTGAAGGCAGCCGAAGAAGCTGCCTGAATACTGGTGCGGGTACAGAGCAATTTTTGGACAGTGGGCCCTCTGCTATGCCCAAACCTTGCATGACACCTGGAGTTGGCCGTATCTATTTTGAAGTGGATGCGCTGGTTGATGATGATAGGTTGAATTCATGTGCTGATGGACCTCCTCCTTTGCCAACGAGCTGTTCCTTTTGGAAGTGGTCCTCTTGCCTTGTCAGATGGGTCCTCCGGACTCGTACTTCTTTTGCTGCATTCCTCAGATCCACATTTCACCTGCCCAGGCGATCTGAGCCTGCATCTGCCATCTTCCCTATCCCAGTACCGTTCCCTGGTGCTTTTGATAGGATGCCCCGAGCTACTTCTTCTTCATCCAGGAGGAATCGACTTGTCAGACAGGTCATTCATGTCATGGCTATGGCCTTGAATTTTTGGTGGAGTGGAGGAAAGTTTTTTGGTGGAGACTTGCTTGGGAGGGTACCTTCATCTCTGCACCGCAGCATGTTTGCAAGATGGAAGTGCCTCATGTTGGCAGACGGCCCTAGTGGAGTTTTTGATGTTGCTTCCAGTGGCCGGCGTTTTCCTCAATTAAGTGCAAGGGTCAATGAGCTTTCTGAAGTCCTTACGAAGCTGGGGGCTACAGGGGGGCCATATGACCGAATGTTTCCAGGTCATGACGTCCCGTTGGATGATACTGGCATTGATGGTTTGGAGCCTTACAGAAGCTTGGATGTTGCAAGGCTGAAGGTGGTAGGGAGAGGTCACTTTGACGCAACTCCTTTTCTCGATGATGACCTTTCCATGGCCTATAGGTTTCCAGATGTTCTGCAGTATGACTTGTCTGGTGTTGACCTTAGTGCCTTTCACCTAAAGCGTGATCCTGCTTGCGAAGTTGCCAAACTTGCCAGACTTTGGGATGCAAAAGGGTTGCTTTTTCTTCACAAGACTGACCTTGAAAAAGAGGCACCTCATGAGCTTACGAGGATCTTCAACTGCCTGAAAGACTCTGTGTGGGATCGCCAGATAGGTGATCGGCGAGGCAGGAACTTCACTGAGGGGAGGCTGCAGTCTGCATCGAAGACTCTTCCGAATGGGCCTGATTTTTTGGAGCTTTATGTGCAACCGAAGCAACAGCGGCTGTCTATTTCGGTGACTGACAGACGTGATTTTTACCACCAGTTTTGGTCATCAGATGCTCGTGCGGTTTCAAACAGCATAGGCCCTGCTTTGCCTTTTTCCTTGGTGAGGGATTTGGATGCAGCAAAGACTCTAGCGTTGGGGGAGAAACTCAAGAAGAAGCAGCCTCGCGTTTTTCGTGGCGACGGTCTTGGTACATCACTACGGCAGCGGTTTTCTAGCTTGGATGACCAAGCACTGGTTTCCTTCAAGTCAATTTTGCAGGGTGATCATCTTGGAGTGGAGCTGGCAACGCAGTCTCATGCAAACTTGCTACGTGATTTTGGCTTGCTCTCACCTGGCGTTAGGATGGTCTCTGATCGCCCTTTGCCTTCTCTTATGGATGTTCATGGTCTCTGCATTGATGACTTCTTCGCTATCAGTGTGGAGGACCGGAAATCAGACCTGCTTGGGGATAGGTCACTACGTGCGCTGGAGACTGCTAGGCATGCCTATGATGTTTACAAACTTGAGGGCTCCCCACAGAAAGATGTCTATGGAGTCGATGAGGGCAAAGTTGTTGGAGCCTACTTGAACTCTTCAAAAAAGGCTGCTCAGTTGGGTGTTTGCACTGTTGGGGCGCCGCCCGAGAAAAGATATGGCCTTTCGGTGATGTCACTTCATGTTGCACAGCTTAGCCATACCTCAGATAGCCTGCACTTGTGTCTTCTTGGTGGGTGGACTTCAGCTTTGGTTTATAGACGAGCCCTCATGGGGATACTGCAAGATAGTTTCAAGCTGGTGAAGGCAGACTCCATCGACGTCAACAAACCTGTCTTGGTGCCACTATCTAGGAAGGTTGCTGAGGAACTTACTCTACTTGCAGTCCTCTCTCCACTTGCCTGCTCAGAACTGAATGCAGAGTACATGCCTGAGATTTTCTGCAGTGATGCCTCCATGGAGAAAGGCGCTTTTTGCAGTGCGGCAGTTGAACCTCGCGTTGCTCAGATGCTTTGGAGATGTTCCCGTACGAAGGGGGCATATACTAGGCTGCAGACCCCTGCAGAACTGGTTTTGCAGCGTTTAGGCATTCATGAGGAAGTCTCAGAGGAGGCGGACAGGCATCTGGTATCGCCACAAAGGCCTTTAGCTCTGCAGTTTGACTTCGTGGAAGTTTTTGCGGGGTCTGGCCGAGTTACAGCAGCTGTCGCAGCAAGAGGCCTTAAAGTTTGCTGCCCTATTGACTTGTCTCGCTCCGATGAGTTCAATGTAGCATGGACGCATGTTGCCCCCTGGCTCCTCTTCATGGTTTCTGAGAAAAGGGTGAAGAGTTTTATGGTGGAGCCTCCTTGCACAACCTTTTCCATCATGAGAAGACCAGCCTTGCGTGATGTGGATTTTCCTTTTGGCTTTCAAGTTGATGACCCTCAGACAGCTGACGGAAATACTCTTGCGCACCGCAGTTTTCAGATGATGTGGGCTGGGCTGGTGGAAGAAGTCACTGGCATTTTAGAGACACCCTACACGTCCAAGATGAAGAATATGCCTAGCTGGAAGAGCATTGAGAGACATCCCAGTGCTAGTTCTTGCAGGACCGACTCTTGCGCTTTTGGTTCAATCCATTTGAAGAGTTTTCGTTTTTTGGGTGTGCATGCAGACTTGGAGCCTCTTTCAGTGCGTTGTGATGGAAGCCACCAGCATGTTTTGGTACAAGGGAAGTATACCTTAGGTTCTGCCATATATACACCTCGTCTTGCAGAAGCTCTTGCAGAAGTTTTGGTGCGTGGTGTGAACAGACTGAGAGAGAAGTTTAGACAGCTTGATGACTTGAAAGTCCATGGGTTGGAGAGCCAATTTGTCAATGAGGTTGCGCAGACTGCAAAGTGGGAAGTTGTCCAATCCTGGCCCCATAGGAAGACTGACCACATAAACCTTTTTGAGCTTCAGTCAGTTTACAAGTTGGCGCTTCATTTGGCTTCGCGGAAGAGAAGTTTACGGGCAGTTTGCATGGTGGATTCCGTAGTGACCAGATGTTCAGCTTCGAAAGGTAGGTCTTCTTCCCACCGTTTGACAGCAGTTCTGAGAAAGCTGGGCGCACTGTGTCTTTGTGTTGGTCTCTACCTGTCTCTGCCTTTTGTCCCTACAAGACTAAATGCTTCGGATGATCCTACCAGGAATGTTGCGGTTCGCCAAGCTTGTAGTGGACTTGGACTTCATGGCTGGTCTGATGAGGAGATATATAGACTTTCTCAAATGCCGAGGCTGAGGAAGTGGGCTTCTGGTTGGGCTCGTCTTGTGCTGCTCCTGTTAGGTCCTGTCGCCTTGGACTTTCCTGACAGATCAACCTACAGGGTCTCTGCATATTCCATTTCCACCTCTCAGGGTAGTGTCTCTTCCGAGCCTGGTTTTGCTCGACCGGGGTTGGACTTTGGCATGGATTTTGATGCCACCTTGGGCTACCCTGGGGAGGGTCCTGTGGACTTTGCTTTGCACTTCTCCATTCCCTTCCTCCTCTTTCTCCTGCCTCACAAAGCCTTTGCGAGAGTCTGGCTAGGTTGCTTTTTCCTCGGTAGGTACGGTTCAGTTTTAGCCATGGAGACTTCTGGATTTGTGCCTCGTAACCCTGGAGATATCAGCAGAGCTACCTGGAGAAGGGGCCGACCGCCTTTGCCTGCGGGTCGGCCTGTGCTGCCTGTAACTTCAGAGAATCGAGAAAAGTTGCTGCAACAGTTTTTTCACTGGCTGGAGACCATTGGTGTTCAACCCCTAACTATTTTCCATGAACCTCAGAGACATCTGCAGCAGATTAACGATCTTCTGAATAGGTACGGTAGATGCTTGTACTTTGGGGGCAGACCCTACAACCACTACGCAGAGACTGTCAATGCCGTCTCTGCTTACAGACCTGCCATAAGACGCTCCTTGCAAGGCGCTTGGGACCTTGCTTTCGCCTGGGTGCGTGATGAGAAGCCTACTCATCACTTGGCCATGCCCTGGCAACTTTTGCTAGCCATGCTGACAGTTTCCCTATGTTGGGGGTGGACTTCGTTTGCTGGTGGATTGGCGCTCTCTTTCGGTGCCTTGCTGCGACCTGGAGAGTTTTTGGGTGCAAAGCGTTGTGATTTGATGCTGCCTGCGGACGTTGGGTATTCACAAAGATTTGCATTACTCTCAATACCTGAGCCAAAAACTAGGTTCACTGTGGCGAGGCACCAATGTGCCAAATTGGATGTACCCGACATGCTGGAGGTAGTTGTCCTTACGTTTAGACATCTACCATGGGATCATGCTTTGTGGCCTATGTCTGGCCAGACTTTTCGAACTAGGTTTCGGCAAGTTCTCCATCTGTTCTACCTGGAACTTCGAAAGTTTGTGATCCTGGATCCCTGCGTGCGGGAGGTGCCACCTGGCTGCTCCATAGCTGCGAAGATGCAGAACTGGTGCGTCGCCGTGGCCGATGGGCAACGGCGAAAACGGCTGAAATTTATATACAGGAGGTTGGTGCACTCCAGTATATGATGAAGCTCAGCTCAAAACAACGAGAGCACGTGCTAGCCTTAGCCTCTTGTTTTCCAGCTGTTTTGAGATGGGCGCAGCAGTGCAGTGATTTACAGCTGCCTACAAAAACCTGGGGACGTTTGTGGATGGCCGAAATCGGTGGAAAGTTTGGGTAGAGTGGGTACTGATGGATCGCTGTGGCGATGTGTGACTAGCAATGCAGGTGTGGAAAAATGAGACCTGAGCACTTGACTTGCAAGTACGACTGTCGACACTTTCCAACCGCTCAAGAACTCCCGAACCACTCCCCCCCACGGCCATCCACAACTGATGGATCGCTGTGGCGATGTGTGACTAGCAATGCAGGTGTGGAAAAATGAGACCTGAGCACATATATATATATATATTATAGCCACATAGCCCCACACACACATATATACATAATTAGATATATATATATATGTATATGTATATGTACATGTAGCATTATTACAACCACTATTTCGAATGTTTCAATTCCCAAGCTGTTTTCTATGTGGTTCACCTGCAGGTGGTGCAGGACGTGAAGCGAAGCATCGCGGCGATGCGCTGTCCGTTACCAATTTCGCCCCAGTTGGGGATGGGGCAAATATTGGTGGACCCCTAAATGGATGGCTTAAGTTTACTGATAAACAAACATGGCTATTGAAAATGGCCATTTATAGTTGATTTACTCATCAAAAATGGTGATTTCCCATAGTTATGTTAGTTTACCAGAGGGTAATGATGGTTTGAATGATGTCTTGAATGCCATGTTTAATGCTAAGAATGCCCAAATGCGTGGATCATCATCATACATACATATGCATATGATTTTATATGATTTTATATGTACATATGATTGAATAGAGAGATAAGGAACGGTGGTCATCAACCATTGGTTGAAGATGGTTGTTTCCCTTACCGTGAACAGACCTGAGGTCTTCGGGTTGTTCTAGTTGGGGAGCTTCCATGGCAAGGATTCACAGATGTGGCATTGGCATCCGCCTGCACCGAAAGAGCTGAGGTGGAAGTGGATCTGAACGTTTTCTATGTGTACCTGCCATGGAAGGACACTCGCCTTTCAGCAGTCTTGTCGCTTCTGGTCTGCTCTTAAGCTGCCACGCATTCTGTACCAGACGTTTCTTTTTTCTCTGAGCGCACTCCTCACTGATGCACCTAAACTTTGTCAGACGAGGTATACTGCAGCTGTCCACGTCTCGCAAACGATTTTCAATGATCTAGCTGTGCAAACCAAGGCCACGTCATATTCATTAAGCATGCCTTCTTGCCAGTCCTTCTGAGCGCTGCAGTGGACACAGTTTGGATTGACTTTGACACCTTCATCCTGCAGGCCAGCTGCCACCTGGCGAATCCTGAGATGTCCTGATTTCACAGTGAGATCTGCTGGCCCTGCCCCTGCTGGCCCTGCCAGGATCCATCCCCTGCCCTTAGGGCGACGCGCGAGAATCCAAGAGAAGTGCTGCCGCGGCGTTCCAGAGCACCTGGGCTCTGTACTTTTTGGGCACTGTGATGGGAGTTCATGCTCCTTGCGACATTTGTCTGAGGAGGTAGTTCAAGTCCCAGGTGAGATTTCAAGTTTGTTGCGGAGGTGCACGCCCAAAGGTTGTTCCTTTCCTTTGAGAAGCAAGAGGGATGAAATCCACAGTCTTGGCTTCGGTTATTTCATTTCTTCATGAGCATATGGCCCGTGGAGAATGAAGGTGCGCTTTGGCTCATTCCTGTTTCAGAACGCTTCGGACATTTGCAACCTCTCCAAGATTTGTGACAAAAGGCAGGTGCAACAAAATTCGGGCAAGATCCATTTGTTGTTCGTGCAGAAAAGAAAGTGTAGCGTCAAGATAACGGTTCTGCCTTTTGGCTTTTGGCTTAATTGAGAACGTGATGGAGTGTCAATGGAGTTCGTTGTATTTTCACGCCAAGCACATTTGGACTCCACCTTGGCTGCGTGAGCAAGAAACTTATTGAAAGATGATTGAAATTGAAGCAGGCTGAAGCTGATATGAGCTCGAAGCCAACCTTAATCGAACTTAAACCAACTTCAACATCAAAACCTTTGCACTCTGCAGTCATGGACTGCGAACTGGTAGACGTCGTACATTGAATTCTCCTAGTTTACTTCAGGGGGCCGTTTCTTTGTTTTTGTGAGGCTCCTTGGCTCCTGCCAGGCAATACATGGAGGTAAATGTGACATCATCAATGGAGGAGAGCCCATTGGACTACCAAGGGGTAGAACTTCTGGTCACTGAGCACTGGGATGCCAGATGCTTGAACAACGGACTCTTTTATGTGCGCGCGTCGTACCGGACTCTCATCTTCTTCAACCTCTTCTTGAGACAGATCTACATCAACCCGTATACTGATAATCAGAACCTGTTTGATGCGTTTTTGTCACACTCGACCCTGGACACCGCAGTGCCAGATGCCCGGCCACTTCTGCGCTACGCCTTGTTGGACATTGATCGACAGTTTGGGTGCGCGGAAGGCCACGCCAGCGCCAGCGCCACAGAGGACGGCCTGGTGACCTTCCACTTCTGGGCCTCGGACTTCCGCACTCGAGAAGCCGCTGAGACCGAGAAAGGCGTGTCCCCTGCGTCAGCTGGACGGATTGTGGCCAGAGATGGGGTGGAAAGAGTGGAGAAGGTGCGCGCGAAAAAGGATGAACTCTTTGAGATCTTCTTTTCAGAAGCTGCTCAGGTGGGGGCTGTTGAGGTTCATGGAGTGGCTGGCTGCTGGTGGGATTTTTCAAACGGGATCACCTGCCATTTGCCACCAATCATTTGACACCACCATTTGACCAAGCGGGATGATCTAAGTCTCTAAGTAATCCAAAATACTGTGGCAAACCCAATGTTAATAAACCATCCCAATATGACCAGAAATGGGTCAGTTATACTGAACCACCCAAGGGTGTGGTTTATTGATGGGTTTTCCACAACATCCAACCACCAGGAAGAGTACAGTCGCGGCCTCCTTGGTATTCCCAGTGCTGGAGCGGACTTCATTGCACAGGCTGTGTGGCGAGAAACTGGGTTCGATGAGCTTTAGATATTACTGTTATTTACTTATTTACTGTTCATGACTATATATATATATATCAACTGACAGGCATCCACAATGCATTGAGCGCCTGCCCCTTGATTGCAAGCTCCATGAAAGCTGCTGTCAGGTGCGCGCTCCGCAACCCAATTGGAGAGGCATGTGTTCTGTGACCGCCGTGGGGGTGGAAGACCTGGTGGATGAACGCCTGCTGCAAGGGGAGAATCAGCTGATCGATTGGAAAGCAGCCACCAATGTCATGGGTGCAGACATGAGTGAGGTGGAGCGTGAAGCAGCCAAGGATGGAGATTGCGAGGCAAAACCCAGGCGAGAAGTGTCCAAAATGCATCGAAATGCATTCTGCCTTCTGGTTCAGGATTTTACTGAGTTTAATGTGCTACCAGCTTCAATGGGGATGACGTGTTCATAAACTGACAGGAATCCTCAGTAATTTTGACGGTCAGCTCTGGTATTTCAGGATCTTCATGTTGGAAGGACTCCACCATATTCTCATCGATCTCATTACGGAATCTGAGGTGTGAAGGCATCCCCTTGGATGAATGGGCCCTGGCCCTGCAAGCCATCGCACAGCTGGGTGAAGCTGGCGGTGAAGGCCTCAGTGTTGCTGAGGTGGTCGTGCTGAAGCAACGCATTCGTACCTTGGATGTGGGCACCCTGCTGACCGTCAGAGCCTTTAACCGCTATGGGCCATCCAGGCTGGCCAAGGAGCTGAAAGAGCTCCTGGAAGCGGAGGGATAGAGGGAAAAAGAACTCGGTGAACATGAGGGAAAGACAAGGGGATTGCAGATTGCAGGGACGGTTCCCTTGACAAACTTAGAGAAAATTTATGAAAATTTGGGATGTTGTAAGTTTGCTTGGGCTCAAGCCCGGAGTACCAAGAGCATCAATGTAAGCCAGAGACCAAGGCCAAAGCCAAAAACTCGTTGGTTTAGTCTTCCTGTTTGGATCCGTTTGGTGCAAAGGTATCAGATTAAACAAACAATTGCCGCTGATGATTGCGCCCATGGCTGTGCACCCACCTGCTACCATCCCATTGGATGTGGCTGGTCGAAGCACGTGCTGTGGTGCCCGACCTGGCATAGTGGCAGCTTCGGGGATGCTGCTGGTTGGCCTAGCGATGCCTGGCCATAGGACATTGAGTTGTCGATTGAAATTTCGTGGTGAAGCCACTTGTGCTTTGGAACACCTGAGATGCACCGTGATTGACTGGCTATCCTTGGGTTTGGCTCAAGCACCTCACGAAAATGTGCTGCATCCCGACCCTATATATCGTCAATCCGAGTCAATCCTTTGCCCGTGCCAAAGTAGAAACACCCATTGTAGGACTCCAGAAGACTAGGATACTAGGTTTGGAGGACCGAAGCACTTTACTGATCAGGTCATTTGGTCAATGTGGTGATTGTTTCCCAATCGGCGGGTCTAAGTTACCCACCGATCCCATGGCGCATGGCTTCCGCCGCCTCGGTCGTGTCCGCAGCGCGGCAGCAGCTGCGCGGAGAGTGGTCTGAGTGGGCGCCGGTCTGGCGCCGGCCCTCGAGAGGTCCGGGCTCCCGCAGTCAATCTGCAGATCCGTTGGGGCACCTCGCCCCGTTGGGTGAAAAGGAGAAGGACCGCAGCCATGAACCAAGGAGAAAGCGTCGGCCTGAGGGGTCGAGTGGCTCCCGACAGAGCTTGCTGAAGCCGAGGAGTCAATCATCTTCATCTGAGTCCTTGAGATCAGCAGATTGGCAGTTTCCAGAGGGCCAGGAAGGTCAGGAAGGTCAGGAAGGTCCAGTTGAAGGGGGCTGGCCAGATCCTGAAATGGATGCCGAACTGCTGCAGCTGGAACAAGAGTTGGAGGACAAGCAGCTGAAGCTCACTGAAGTCAAAGCCAATGGCCGAGCGCTGGAGGAACGGCTGGAGGCCACCGAGAGAGATGCCAGGCATTTTGGGGAAACTGTCATGGCGCTGGAGGCCGGATTGCAAGATGCCACTGTGGAGGAACATGAGCCTCACCGTGAGCTGCGACACACCATGAGGGAAGGGAAGAAGTCTAGTGAGCCTTCTTTGGACAACCTGGTTGATGAGTGGGCGCGTGCCAGAGCAGCCATTGGCTTGTCATAGTGGCAGATTTGGAGTTTCTTTCATTCCTTACCTTGCGGCTTCAAACCTCCAACAGGTTTCACACACCAAATGAAGTGAGTTTGGTGCAAAAAGAGGGCGTTCCACTCTGGTCTCATCCTTCACATCACAAGCTGATGGCTGCTGGACCTTGTCCCACTGATGTCCCACTGGTTCAACGGTTTTTGAATGTTTCTGTAGGACCCGATGCGGAAGATGTGTTCGCTCCTCCACGGGTGCGTCGCGTGGCGTGCCGCTGGGGAACATTTTCACCAACGTTGCTTGGACAGATGAAGAGCTGAGGGCTTGGAGGTAGAAAGCTAGCCTTAGATATCCTTAGATATTGTTGCTGAAATGTGAAATCTGAATGATGAATCATTACATATCAGGACCACGACGATTCTTGCTTCAGGCTGGGGCGACTGGAGTTGGTGGAGGCTTCGTAGGAGGTCCGCAGGAAGTGTTTGGCCGACGACAAGGCACGGATTGAGCGGTACTGCTGGGCTGTTGATGTTTCCACTTTTCCAACGGCTTGTTTTCAAGGAAAACATCAAGAACCGCCAATAGTTGCCAGTAAAAGCCGTGTTTTTCTTGCTGTAACATTTCTATACATTTCTTCTAAATTCTAAATCAATATAATCAATGCATTCGACTATTTTTGTCCGCAGGATCTCAGGATGATAAGAAGGCAGAAGAGGCAGGCTGAGCTTTTTGTGATGAGAGGATGCACGGTGCCGTGTTTGCAATCACAGCTTGAAGATTTGCAAGTTGTAAGTCATTGAGAGTCACTGAATCAGTGCAGGTTCTTCAGAACATTAAGGGCTTCCAAATGAAGCCCAAAAAGGTCAAAGAATATCTCGATCGCTATATCATTGAGCAGGCGAGTCCACTCCCGTGACGGCCCGTGACGCTTCGCCGCTTAGCTGTTGCATGCTGTTGCCCTGTTCCCTGCAGGACGATGCCAAGAGGGTCTTGCAACTCAGCAGCGCTTAGCTGCGCTGGCCCAGCCATGGCTTAAGGGTCGTCAGTTGCATGACAAATCGCCTTGAAAGCCTCTACGACCGTTGAACGTTTTCACATGTCCCTGGCTGGAATATGATGAGAGAAGAATCAAAATCAATGATAATGTCCGCAATATAAGTCAACAAGAGAACATCAACAATAAACCAAACACATCGAAATCTCACGTACCAGTACCACATACATATTTAAATATAATAATTAATAGGTGAATCACCAGATAAATAGACGCACACACACTCTTCATAACTCTATTGTACAGTACCCTTAGGTCTTAGGAAAATAAAAGGATAAACTATACCATTGCACAGTACACATAGATACACATAGGCACATAGGTTTTTAAAAAGGCAAATAACTAATGACAACTATGGATAACTATGACAACTATATACAACTATATACAACTATATACAACTATGATAAGCTATGATAAGCTATGATAAGCTACAGAAATGTCATAGAAATGTCATCTGCGTCACAGATGTCACCAGGTCCGTGGCGCTCTGCGACCACTACAACTGGGCACGGCGATGCCTGGACGATCCCAGCCTCCGAGGCAAGAATTACACCAAGCCGCGCCTCGGCGAAAACGAAAACCCGTTGGATTGGTTGGAACATCTATGGAAAATCTATGGAACATCTATGTGCAACCTGGAAACCATCGATTTCCCATGAATCATATGGATAATATGGGATTTTCCTGTAAATGTTCCCCCCCCAAAAAAACAATCCGTTGACAAATAGTAGGACATCCTGAATTTTTGGAATTTGATGGGATATGCTAAAGATACGCAACCTGCAGACTTGCTACAGTTCAATGGGAAGACTAGTAGCATGTCTGACTATATACAGGATCCAGGCATGTCCAAGAAATCAAGCTTGTCAGCTCTTCAACCAAGGGGTTTGCTATTTGGAGTGCTTTCTGGACTGCAAATGATATCTCCCTCTTTCCTGTTTGGGTTTAATATTTTTTAAACTGTCAAACTATGTATAAACCTGCAGATGGTTGCTGGGATAATCCCCAATGATATTGACCTAACTATTTTTCAAGGAGATGAAACCACTAGTCTTGCCATCTTTGCTGGTGCATCTTCCCAGGGTTGCGATATCCTCTTTGCTTGGCCGAAGCCGGGTCCCGTTTCAGTTTTATTCAACCGTTCCAAAAAACGCGGCATCGATGCTGATTTCCGTTCCATTTCTGGGGCCAATTCAAAAATTGAAGTGGCTTGCTGTTCAGGAACATTCTGATCTCTGGTCCAACTGGAAGTGGGAAGACCTACTTGGTTCGGACCATGGCGAAGATGCTTGGGGTGCCTTTTGTGAAGGCCAGGTTTGGTCGCGAGCCTTTTGTTGGAGCGTCTGTTTTTTTGGGCCGCATCTCGCATCTTGCCAGGCAGATGCCACGAAGTTCTCGGAGACGGGGATTGTTGGTGAAGATGCTGAAGATGTTGTTCGACAACTGGCGGATGCTGCTGGAGGAAGCTCTGCAGTAGCTGGCTATGGCATTGTGCACCTTGACCTGGCTATGGCAATGGCATTCCTAGGTGTTTCAGAGGAAATGGAAATGGTCACATGGATGAACAGAAAGGTGCAGCTGTACTGAGACTGGTTCTTTCAGTTTGAAATTGATTGTTGTCATTCCCAAACCGCGGGCTTGGATGAGCCGACACCTTGAATCCAGGTACATAGATGAAGTCGACAAGATTTGCAGCGCATCTGGTGGAATGGGTGGCAGAGGTGGTTGGAGTGGATCTCAAGTTCAAAGTCTCTCGTCTTGGCTCATGGCATGGAGTGCTGCGAGAGTTGATAGTCGTGCGGGACATGCATGTGACACCATGATGACCTTCAGCAAAACATGTTTGTCCCTGTAGATTCCTTAGACTGGACATTTGAGCTTTGAATTGGCTGCAGCAATTTCAAGCCCATATCCATTTATGCAGACCCCAAACCTCTCAATGGCTTCAACAGCTTCACTTCCTCGTTTGGTGACATAGCCTTCTGGTACTCAAACATAGCAATGGACAACCCGGACACCCCACTGTCACTGTCAGCTTTGATCATTTATGATTACCAGCGAGGTAACCATCCGTTTGTGCATTTTTTGTTGGGTGAAGCCCTCTTCAATTTCCGGTTTGTGATTGGTTTCAAACTATGTTAAAAACTAGCGTCATCTACAAATTGGTGAAAAGAAACCATGGCCACATTGCCACATTCCTCTTGAGGCAACTTTTTGAAGATCATGGAGGACACTGAGGTGAGTGCGAAGAATAGCATGCAGGCCAGCCTCTCCAGCATGCCGCTGGGCGGCGAATGGGCGAAGTTCAGAGGTTTTGCCGCACGTCAGCTGCAAAATCCAGAAAATCTTGGAAGGATGATTTGAAGGTCAAACATGTTTGGAGGATTTTCTTGTGAACGAAGGGGGAATTCCAGTTGTTTTCCCTGTGCTGAGGTTTGGTGGTGGCCAAGAGGAGTCCATCTCTACGAAATTTGTGCGGGGCCCAGGATCTTGTCACTGGTGGAAATTCATGGAATCCATCAGAGTAGCTAGAAATAGCTAGAAGATAAGAGTTCTGTTTGAAGTTTGTTGCTTTTCAGAGGTTCCATGTGTCTTTTTGTGCCAAAAAGCGAAGCAGTGCGTTTGGGCATTGGGTTTTTCGAGCCGTTTGAGTTGGATCCGGGTGCCGAGGTTCTGTTCATTTTCAGCGGTGCATTCACCGGAATGAATGACATCATCAAGAATCGTGTGGGTGCTCCTGGGGAAAGGTCAGCAGATAGCAATGATAGCACCCTGGAATCATCTGGAATCGATGCAGGTACCAAATCCATGGGATTTCTGGCTGATGATCCTGCGAACCAAAAGGTCAATACAGAAGAGCAACAGAGCCGCTTGGTGGTCTTTGTTGATTCCTCTTGATGTGTCTTAGATGTGTTTTATGAAAATTCATTGGTGTTTTGTCCCCTAGCCAGGTTATCTGCACCTGGCAGAAACCAATGATTTCATCGAAGCTGGCTTAGAGCCTGAGTTTGTGGGGCGTATTCCTGTGCGCGTTGCAGGGGCCTCAACCCAGAAAAAACTTCGGCGCTGGAGTGGGTCCATCCTGGGTTGACGGACGTGAGGCCATCCGCGCGTTGGATTCCAACGATTTGTACAAAATCCTCACGCAGGCCGAGGACTCCATCCTGCTGCAGTTCCAGATGCTTTGGCGCGGGGTAGAGATGGTGGAGATGGTGGAGTTGGGATCAAAATTGGCATTGTCAAGCGATACTGGGTGAGATGGATATGTATATAATATATGATGATATGTAATAGTTGCATATATACACACCTCAGAGTAGACAATTTTCGAATGCTTTCAGGAGTTCTGATTTTGAAGTACCTAGGGCGGAAAACGAACAAATTGGCTCATTCTGTCCTCCACCTCAGTGGTTGTGGCTGCCAGCTATGGCCCCAGCTATGCCCCCAGCTATGCCCCAAGGAACGACTTCTCCGGATATGGCATTCAGCTGAAAGCCGGCTGCTCAGCATTCTCGAAATGCCATGGATGCACCCCCTCAAGGGTTCACCTGCCACAAATGCCAACCCGTAATAAGAATATGAGATGATTGAAACTGGTGAGATGCCAACGTCCACAAACGTTCTGCTTCAAAATCTTTTAAAGTGTATTTGAGTCACCACTGAGTCACTCCCAATGGTTTAAAAGAAAGTGTCTTGAAGCTATCACTGGGCCTTTGAAACCCATGTCAATCCAGTTTGTCCAAAAAGATGGTAGAATTTGAAGGAAGCAAAGAAACATCATACATAAATGATGATTTGCCCGATTCAACTGATTGTCACCAGAGTAAACCATCCAAATATCAGAAGCCCACATATTTCAGGTCAATTTTTGCAGGAAACCGTGCTCCCATTGATGGACAACTCCCCCTTAGCCAGGCCGAGGAGGCGGCGTTGCGCCGCGTGGCGGAACTGGCGGTGGAGGAGAAGACGGGGGCGCGTGCACTGGTCACGATCCTGGAGAAGGTGGGACGGTGGGACGTGAGCGAATCGCCATGGGATGTCATGGGGATTGCAACAAGGGTGGCAGAATGGGGATAGGGCCAGGGGGATATGGTGATATACTGCTGGGAGATTCCAAGGCAAAACACCCGGAGGCAGCAAGGTTGACCTGAAGGAAGCAAGGTCCATTGCATGAACGTTTCGACGAAAGGCCGAGAGGTCGGATCGCAAGATGAGCCCGTGTGCAGGTGCTGCGAAATTTCAAGTTTGAGCTGCCATCTACAAGCTGCACTGAGTTGCTCCTCACCCGTGACATGGTCGAAGATCCTACCAGACGCTTGGCGTGGGCTCCAGATACCCTTCTGATTCTGGCCACTTCGGCTGGCTTACTGTGGGTCCAGAGCAAGTTCTCAGGGGATCTGGATTAACAACTTCTTGCCTCACCATTTCGAAGTGTTTTGTCCAAAAAAAGGGGTGCCAAAAAATCCAATGATCATCGAGTCATCATCATTTGGTCATTCTAGATCATTTTTGAGATACTCTCACATTCCTGGACAAAGCCACTGGCGATCATGGGGGGTGTCAAACTAAGGAGCTTTGCAGGATCTACTCTGCTCCCCGGCCTTGGCTCGTGATGATGTCAACCATTGGCTTGGGAAAGTTGAAGCAAGGCTGGTGGGATGTGCTGGGTTAGGCTAGCAACTTGGAAGTTTTGAAAAGTCTTGACCACTGGAACATCGGGATGTCGTGAATGGAACGGTGAGCCGAGTCATTGCCTATGATGCTTTTGTCAATTGTCTGAAAAAATCAGTTTTCAATCAAAG